TATATATATAATATACAGTATATTTTCCTCTAAAGTTCTTAAAGTTCCATTGGGTTAGTCATCTTTAAAGCTGCTCTCTGACTGAACCAGACCACAGTCCAGATTTTATTTCCACTCAGTGTGTTTTGGACAGAACTTCATCAGATTTTAWGAAGTTATTTTTAAAGCAGAAAACAAATTCAATAAAGAGCTAACAGGCTTTAATAGTTTTCTTGTTAAACAGATTTTTCTGCATGTTGTGATTTTAGCTCCATTTACAGATAATTTTAATGTTTTGTTAATCTTGACTTTAGGTTTATGGTTCAAAGTAAATGCAATGCAAAGCAGTCATCAGTCTTTCAATATACTGGTAAATTTAAAAGCTAAAAGCCAAAGTTCATCATCATCATCATCATCATCATCATCATCAGGATCCAATCAGTTTCTTCTCAAACAAACTGCTGCTGCTTCAACCTCTGGGGATCACCAGAATTCAAATCTTCTTTCCTTCTGAAAGACCACCAGGTGTCCCACCTGCAGAGAGAAGAGTGTCAGAGAGGAAGTGACTTCCTATCTGCAGGTGACTTCCTGTCTGCAGCCTCTCTTCATCAGCTGTCAATCAGTCCTGCAGCATCATTCCGGAGGAAAGAGCAGCAGGATTCAGCTGTGGAGTGAAGCTCACACAGCTGCAGAGACTTTCAGCATTGTCTCTTTCCTCTGCAGCTTTCACTCAAGTCCACAGAGGAAACAATGTGCTGAGTCATCATTACTGCACACTGGAGGGATGGATTTTCTGCTGTTACATGTCAGCAATAAAATGACAAAGGATCAGCTTGAAAATGAGTGATTTGAACCAGATGGCTGTAAATTGTATGAAGGGTGTCACTAGGGCCCAATTATTTAGGGGGGCAGTGGCTTAAGGGATAGGGGTGTCGTTTGTCTAATGTGAGAGTTGACCACTATTTGGTCACATGTTGAAGTGTCCCTGTGCAAGACACTGAAACCCACTGCCTCTGATGTGTGTCCCATCAGTATATGAATAGTAAATAGACTGTACTTATATAGTGCTTTTCTATCTAACCAGGATACTCAAAGCACTTCACAATCTGTATAGAAATCATAAACTGATCAAATAAATATTTTTAATGCAAATTTTGAAACAAACAAAAAAAGAATTGTATGATCTAATTCTGAAGTACAATCCCTGGCAAAACGTATGGAATCGCCAGTCTTGGATGAGCACTCATTCAGACATTTCATTCAGTAAAACAAACTCAGATCAAAAACATGATACAATAATAAGGTCATTCCAAAGTGCAACTTGTTGGCTTTCAGGAACACTCAAAGAAATGAAGAGAAAACATTGTGGAAGTCAGTGAATGTTACTTTTATTGACAAAAAATATGGAATCATGAAAAACAGATAAACAAAAGACCACACAAAAT